GAGTTGGCTGGTGGGTTTGAACTGTTGACCTTGTGGTTAGTAGTCCAGTGTTTATCCTATAGCACTGCCAAGGCTCCTTTATTGCTCCTGTTGGTGGTGTGCCATCAAGTCAGTTCTGACTCATAGCACCCCTGTATAGGGTTTCCGAAGCTGTACATCTTTATGGGAACAGAAAGACTCATCTTTCTCCTGCGGAGCAACTGGTGAATTCGAACTACTAACCTTGGATCTAGCAGTCCAACGTGTAACCCATTGTGCTACCAGGGATCCTGAATTTCAGAAATCTTTCACTGAGTTTCCTTACTTATATAGTCAAATTTCAAATCTCTCATAGAACAATTATGGAAACACCAATGACTGCCCATTAGTATGTGCATAGTGATATTCAAAGTGCTCAATTGAGTCATCAAATCCAAATAATTTTAACTAAATAATGTCGTAAAAATTGTCAATTCTTCTCTGTTGACAGACAAGAAAACAGTTGGCCAGGCAGGTTAATAATAGAGTTGGGTGAATCTGGGACTTTAATCTCTGGGCTGCTTACTCTGAAAGTGTAACTGAAGCTTTGGTTTTCTTCTTCTTTTTGTTTTTTAAATATACAAATTATGCATCTTTGAGGAACAAAAGTTTGAGCATTTATAAAACTCTGAAGATGAACTTCAGGATTTGTTATTGTCCAGATAATTTAAAAACATTTTTAATGATTAAGTGGCACAGGCTGGGTTTTCTAGAGAAGCAAAACCAGTGAAATTTATATATTTGTATATATAAAAAGATGTTTATATTAAGGAAATGGCTTTCAACTATACAGTCCCAGGTCCCCAGAGGAAAGGAGAGCAAGCTTTTCCTGTGTAGGGCACACCCCGAGGAAATATCCTTATCAATTGATTGGCTGTTCATAGCCAATCACCACAGAGTTAACTATGACTACATCTCAATTTCCAATGCACTGGGAATCTTGGCCCAGTCAAGTTGACACAAAACCCTAACTATCACACTAAGGAAGACTGAAGAGGAATTGATGCATTTGGATTATGGTAATAGTGAAGAATATTGAATGTTCCATGGATTGCCAGAAGAACGAACAAATCTTCCATGGAAGGAGTACAGCCAGAATACTCCTTAGAAGTTAGGGTTCATCTTATGAAAGTGGGGACCCAAATCTGGTCCGATAGTCACTCTGAGTGGATGAGATCAAGATCAATTTCAGGGAAGCCACGGCAGCACCAGAATATTGACTATTGAAACATGATGAAGAGCACCAAAATATTGTCAGATATAGTGTTAGAATATGAGCCCCTCAGGTTGGAAGGCACTCAAAATACGACTGAGAAAGAGCTGCCTCCTCAAAATAGAGTTGACTGTGACGACTTGAATGAAGTAATGCCTTCAGAATCTTAAACATTCTCTTTTCCACTGGGGAACTGGGACTCTACAATCGTAAGCCATTTCCTTAATATAAACTTCTCTTTATGTTTTAAAGTGGTCTGGATAATAACAAATCCTGAAATTCATTTTCGGAATTTAATAAATGCTCAAACTTTCGTTCTTCAAAGATGCATAATTTGGGGATTTAAGAAAACAAAACAAAACATCAAAGCTTCAACTACACACTCAGATTAAGCAACCCAGAGATTAAAGTGTCAGATTCACCTAACTCTATTATTAATTTGTCTGATCTTGAGTAAATAAGGTTGCCATGATTCATATGATTACTTTTCTAGTATTTGGTATTCTATTAGTCTCTTTGTTTCCTAGGTCTGCCGTGACACGATATTGTAAAGTAAGTGACTCTAATGCACGTAAATTTATTTTACCACAGTACTGACAGAAGTCCACCAAAGGATGTTGGTAGGACTGTACTCATTCTTTGTCTGCTCTAAGGGAAGAATCGTCCTTGTTTTTTCCAGCTTCCGGTTGCCCTTGGTGTTTCTTGGATTATAAGTGTATGTTCACAGAGTGTCTCTTTCCCCCCTTGTGACGTTCTCGCTCTTTCTGTCTGTTCTCACTTGTCATAAGACTCCACTCAGTAGGTCTAATTGTACTGTGATATGACCTTATTAGTCTAATAACATCTTCAAAGAAAGACTGATTCCCAAAAAAATATAAAATTCACAGGCATGGGAGACCTTTAGGACTTCAGGATATATTTTTTGGGGACACAATTGAATCCATACATATAGATATGCAACAGTATGTTTGGACTCCTGGTGTGGCATTGTAAGATCAGCACTGGACTGTGAATCACAAGGTTGGCAGTTCAAACCCACCAACTGCTCCTCGGAAACCCTATACAGGGTCACTATGAGTCAGAATCGACTTGACTTGACCTCACCATAATGTGCTTATCCTGTTGTCTGTTGATGACATTTGGGTTGTTTCTAGTTTTTGGACTAGTTCAAATAAAGCTGCTATGAACATTTATGTAGAGCTTCTGCATGAACACGTACTTTCTTTTTCTTGAGTACATACATGGGCATGGGATGGCTGAATCATATGATAGAAAGTGCCAAACTGTTTTGCAAATTTGATGGACCATTTCACATATCCATCAAAAGTGAATGAGGTAACCAGCGCTTGGTGCAAACACTTTGTTACTCACCCGTTGCTGATATAAGAAGAGCAGAGGATTTATGTAGTATTGAGACCCATATTGGGGAGCAGAATCTCCCAGCTCTCCAGTGTGGTCCCCAGTCGAGTGGGAGCCCTGAGTGCCCATCTTGCACTTCGGTCCGTAAGTCATCAGGAAGGACTTCAGGTGTTCTGCCTTTGTGTGAGGGCCAGACATTACGCATCTGCTTCCGAACTGCCCAGAGCTCAGTTTCTACTCCGGATCCTCTTCCTGAAGTGACCTTTGGTGATAGTGTCCTAAACCACCATAAGGGGGAGCAAAGAAATGAGGGAACAATAATTTTAACCAGATTCCAAATGCCAGAGAATCCACTGGACACCATGATAACTATCAGCGAGATTCCACTATGTTTCCGCACGGAACCTTTTCTCTAATGCACCAAACCAGCAGAAATACCGCAGGCGGAAGTTTGAGTTCTCTTTGGGCTTCTCTCTACTCCAGTGGCAGGCCTTTCCCCATGGGAAACTCCCAGCTCCCTTCCTTTTCCAGTCTCACACGTGGAGCAGAGAAAGGAGCCAAGTCGGCGACTCTGCTCCACAAAGGACCAGGATTGGAGGCGCGGATGGCTGCTGTGTGCCTGTTCCCAACGTGCCCCAAGCTCCGCGTCCACTCCCGTCCCTCGGCCTGAATCCACTCCTGTCCCTCGGCCTGAATCCGTGGAGCTCCGGGTCCTGCTCTTAGAGTTCCCAAAGGTGAAGCGCGGGAACGGGTACAATGATCATTGAAGATGTGGCTGTGGTCTTCACCCACGAAGAGTGGGATTTGCTGGATCCTGCTCAGAGGAAACTCTACAGAGACGTGATGATGGAAACCTTGAGAAACGTGGCTTCAGTTGGTGCAATCAAGAAATCACATTGCTGGAAGGATCACCTTGACAACCAGGGGAGACATTTGAGAACTGGTGCAATCGAGAACCTGGGTGAACGCAACCAGTGTGGGGAAACCTCCAGCCGAGTCCTGGTCTTTCTGTGCACCAAGTAGATCCCACAGAAGTAGATCCTTTTGAATGCTCCCTCACTGCACCTATGCGAATTCATAGTGGAGAGAGGACCTATTAATGTAAGGAATGTGGGAAATTCTTTCTCCAAGAGTCAACCCTCAGAACACATAGAAGAATCCACAGTGGAGAGAGACCTTATAAATGCAAACATTGTGGGAAATCCTTCAGTCAAGTCTCAGACCTCACAAGACATAGAAGAATACACAGTGGAGAGAAGCCATATAAATGTAAAGTATATGGGAAAACCTTTGGTAGGTACTCATCCCTCCATAAACATACAAATTCACAGTGGGGAGAGGCCCAATGAATGTAAGGTGTGTGGGAAAGCCTTTAGAGTAAACTCACTTCTCATTGCACATAGAAGAATTCATACTAAAGTCTCAGGGATCAATTTAATAATTTAGTATAGCATTTTTCTACATCTAAACAAGTGAGGTTTTAAAACCCTAGGGTTTATATCGATGATACAACTTTTGACTTATATAGACAAGAAAATAATACCAGAAATTCAAACAGTAAAAAAAGAAGAAACAAATATGAGTGCATTTGTTATCAAAATGATATGCTAAACTTGTAATATACACAGTTAAAAGTCTCTGCAAAGTCCCACACAAATCATTTAAGGGTCCCAAAGGAACCCCTAAAGGCAGTAGTTACATTCATAACCCTTTATGAGTGTCAGGGTAATTAATCACAAGAGAAATATGTCAAAACTCACTTTCACATTAAGAGATTTCTGTTCCTGGGGCATCCAGGATATAGAAGCTTCATAGAATATGAGATGGTGCTTGTTTCATGTAACAATGTAATCCCTCCCATTCCTCAACCCAAATACTGGAGTACCCTTGGTGTGTAAAACATTTCTCATAACTACAGGAATAACCATCACAATAAAAGATCTCATTGTCCCCCCCCCCCAAAAAAAAGTGAGTGAGCATTCTAGTTCCTCTACACCCTTGCTAACACTTGATAATAGTCTTTTTCATTTTAGTCTTTCTAACATATTACATTGGGCAAATCTGCTGCACAAGACCTTTTTAAAGTGTTGAAGAGCAAAGATGTCAGATTGAGGACTAAAGTGCACATAGCCCAAGCCATGGTATTTTCAATAACCTCAGATGCATGCGAAAGCTGGACAGTGATTAAGGAAGACTGTAAAGAATTGATGCATTTGAGTTACGGTGGGTGTTGGAGAATATTGAAAGTGCCATGCGCTGCCAAAAGAACCAGTAGATCTGTGTTGGAAGACATGCAGCCAGAGTGTTCCTTGGAGGCCAGGATGGCCAAACTTCTTCTCTCATACTTAGGACATATTGTCAGGAGGGACCAGTCACTGGAGAAGGATATCATGTTTGGTAAGGTGGAGGGTCAGAGAAAAAGAGGAAGACACCCAGCAAGACGGATCGGCAAAGTGGAATCATCAATGGGCTCAAGGGTGGCGATGATAGTGAGGTTGGCCCAGGATCAGGCAGTGTTTCATTCTGTGGTGCATAAGGTCGCTATGAGTCGGTACCGACTTGAAGGCACCTAACAACAACAACAATAGGTATATACTAGTATCACTGTGATTTTAATGATCTACATATTCTTCATGATTAATAATGTTGTACATCTTATTATGTGCTTATATTCCATATTTTTTCATTGGTGAAATGTTTGGTGAATATTTGCCCATTTTTAAATTGACTTGTTTGCTTTTTATATTGAATATGCAGATTTTTAATCTGGGTTTTGTATATAAATACTATATCAGATAAATCCTTTGTGGATGGTTTCTCCCAGGTTATGATTTACCCTTTCATGCTCTTAACAGTGGCTCTTGAAAAGCACAGGTTTAAATTTGATGAAATCCAATTTCCTGCTTTTTCTCTATGTATAGAAATGAACATAATTTTTCTTCTTTATTCTGTGAATGTGATGCATTAGATTGATTAATTTTCAAATGTTAATTCAACCTCATATTTTTAAGGAGAAACCCATTTGACCATGATATTTTGTCATTTTTATATAGTTTAATTCAACTTACTTTGTTTGAATATTTTGCATCTACATTAATAAGGGCTATTGCCCAATAATTTTCTTGTGTCATGTTTTTTCCTGGCCTTGGTATCTGGGTAATGTTGTCATAGAATGAATCAGGACATGTCCCCTACTCTTCACTTTTCTGGAAGAGTTTGTATAGAATTAGTGTTATGTCTTCTTAAATTGTTCATGCCTAAGTAGCAGAATGGATCTCCAGGTACTTATGATGCAGGCATTAAGGCTGAAGGTGACACACTCCCATACTAAGAGGCTTTATGGAGACAGAAGGGCAGCTGATAACTAGGACCCAAATCACTCAAACGAGCAGGGGAAGGAGAATGGCTTGGGATTTTTATGGTAGTGTATCAGGCTCTACTACCTATGAGGGCTCCCCCAAATGTTTTGACTTCCTGCTGGCACTAAAGGAGGGAGTATATTTCTTACCAGTTGACCAAGTATGGGGAAGGGGAAGGACGAAGAGTGGGGCTTAAAAGCTTTCAGCAGCTAAATATAAAAATAGAGTCAGACTCCATTACAGTTTTTCCCTGGTGCTTGACTGATGACTGCCATGTGCTATGTTTTGTTTAATTGAATTTGAACTGACTTCAGTAAGTCACTGTGGCACTTTATGAGAACTGGAGCTTAAAGTCAATAAAGGAGGTAAAAGTTCCAATGACTGTCTCATTCAGAAGCCTAGGATTGTGTGCTTTGAGGAACAAAATTTGTGTCTGGTCACTACCCGTAATGTCTGGTCCCCCGAAGTGTCTTGGTGAGACTGTGTATTATGCCTCAAGCAGCTCTCTCTCTCTCTTTAGCGATTAACGTGGTGTGGACAGGAGGCTCTCTAACTTGTTCACATATTTAAACAGTTCTTCATCTGCACGGTTTGAATTCATTCCTTGGCTGTGCCATGGAGTGCCATAAGTGTTTATCCCTATAGCCTTGAGAAGCAGAGATTTTTGAGTCCTGGTGTAGCACTAGAGAATAAGCACTGGACTGCCAACCCCAAAGTCGGTAGTTCAAACCCACCAACTGTTTCTTGGAAACCCTATACAGGGTCGCTATGAGGCAAATAGCTGCCTCTTGGTTTATGTTGCTGTTGTTGTTGTTAAGTGCCATAGAGTCAGTTCTGACCCATAGCAACCCTGTATAGGGTTTCTAAGGAGCAGCTAGTGAGCTTGAACTGATGACCTTGTGGTTCAAACTGACTTCGCAGTTCAGCGCATTGACCCCCAGTGCCCCACTAGGACTCCCTTGGTTTATGTTTAAGTTCCTAATGAGCACAATTAAGTGTTCTTGAATACTCATTCTTCACAATGTTATCCATAGTTTTTTAACTGTAAGTGAATGAGAATACCAAAAATAAAATTGAAAAGCATCAAAGCAAACAAAAATAACTCCATAAAACCTGCATGTGGGGTGGATGTAAGTAAATATTTGAGAATGAAATGAAAGGGTGAGTTGTGGTAGAAAGCTATTGCTCCCATCCCAGGATTTCCAAATCCTAACCTCTGTAACCAAAGCTAAGGGGAAAAAAACAGCATTCAAAGAAACAGAATATTAGAAGACTTTTTAGGTTATTAAATTTTTTTTTCTCTCATTGGTGTTTTCTTAGATTTTAAAGAGGAGAAAAAACCATACCAAGTTATCAAATGGCTTCCACCTGAAACTTTTAAAGAAGAATTTACTAAGCGTTTTGATTTATTGGTTGAAGAAGCTTTGCATGGCAGGTAATTGTATTTTATTCTTTGAAGCAAAGTGTCAGTATTTTCGTGTTGCAAAAATATGCAGCAAACCATCCTTTCCTCCCCAGATTCTCTCTACCCCTTGGTTGAGTTTGAGAATCCATTGTAATGGCCACACAGAACTCAGAGAAAATACAGTTACGGGGCCTATTAGGCAAGTTAACAGGTTACAGTATAGAATCAAAATGCACAGGGCACAGTTGTTCCAGTCAACTGTTGATAAATGCCCACAGGGCACACCACTCCACCATGAGCCTCAGCCTGAAGGCACTCGGCTCTCGCTCTATATGTCAGCTCCCCCACTTAAAGTGCCTGGAGGTACTCCACTTTACAAGCAAGCTTCCTGCCCCAAACCACTCAGTTTCATTGCTCCCTGGCCTGGGGAGCCCACTGCTCTGTCTTACTCTCGGGTTCTCGGTTCTGCTGCTGCTGCTTTCTGCTGTTCCTCCATGTCACAGCTTTCTGACCCTGGGTAGAGGAGGTTCAGGGCGCAGGGGCCTCAGGGGTCCAAAGAACACACTCCCTGCTTCTTCTTCTTTGTTGGTAAAAAGATCCCCCATTCTGCTTCTGAGATGGTTCATTTTAAACCCATGCTAGATTTTCCAGCTTTTACAATTACAATGAACTCTTCTGACCTCCACAGCTGTGGTGTTGTGGGTTAATGCACAGTACTGCAAAGTTGGTTTGAACTACAAGTTCGGTGGTTCAAGTTCACCAGCTGCTCCTCAGAAACCCTATACAGGGTCGCTATGGGTCAGAACTGACTCGACTGCACTTAACAACAACAACAATATCCACAGCTGAGTTATGCCACCCTATCATATCTTCTCCCACCTTCTCTTACCCAGACCCAGCAGGGCAGAAATGTTGTTTGGTTGGAGCTAGAGACTGTGGCTAAAAGAGGTATTGGATAATCCACTACACCACAGTGGTACAAGTTAAAGTACCGATGCTCGGATGCTTTGTGTGAACAAAACCAAAAGGGATGGATGAATGGACAGACAGGTCATCAAATAGGTGCTGCATTCCTGTGACCCTGTCCAGATGGATGGATGAATAGACGCATGCTGCATTTCCAGCCATCTAGTCCAGTTACTGCTGGAGATTCTAGAACAATCCCTAGACTTCCCTCTTCCACTGTAAGCATGAAGACATTTCTGCAGAAACGGAGACTTTGTTCTCTCTGGGCTTGCCTTGCAACACTTTGCCTTCAGTTTTTGTCTAATCATCTCTCCCACATAGAAACTGAGACAGGCACTTCAACTTCTAAAGTTGGTGGGGAACTCAGAGAATCATTTTTTTCCCCACTTATTTTTCTTTCCTCACATTAAGTATCCCTGGTGGCAGAGTGGGTTAAGTGTTGGGCTGCTATGCACAAGTCGGCGGTTCTAACTCACCAGCCGCTCCTTGGAAATCCTATGAGGCAGAACCAACTCTACAGCACATAACAACAACAACAACTCCATAAGAGTGCTATGTACCTGATTTATATTATTAGCAATTTACCCAGTCTACTTGGTTTGCTACAAGCACTTCATATTTGCATATTCCTACCAGGTCATTTGATTGACACCTTGTGAACCGCAAGGTCAGCAGTTTGAAACTACCAACTGTTCCTCAGGAGAAAGATGAGGTTTTCTGCTCCCATAAAGATTTACAGCCTTGGAAACCCTGTACAGGGTCGCTATGAGTCAGAACCGACTCCATGGCACATAACAACAACAATAACCAAGTCATTTGGTGGGAATCACAAAGCTAGAAAGGACACACTAAATAATTCACAGCTTTACAGATTGATTTCACATATCTCATTATTGTCCTTTTCTTTTTTACATATACCATGAAAAAAATACTTGGTGTGGCGCCCCAACATAAGCACTTGACCTCAAGGTCAGTTTGAGCTGCAAGGTCAGTGGTTCAAACTCACCAGCCGCTCCTCAGAAGCTTTATACAGGGTTGCTGTGAGTTGTAACCGACTCGATGGCACAAAACAATAGCAATAATGAAAAAAAAATATGTTTCTAGTTTTAAGACTAATTTTAGGTTATTTTTCTAATGTTACAAAATAATTCTACCACTCATCTATCAGTGTGTCGTACTGTGGTTGTTAGTGTGTTGCTGTGTTGCTAGAAGCTGTGCCACTAGTATTTTAAATACCAGCAGGATATACCAATGGTGGGTAGCTTTCAGCTGAGCTTCCAGACTACAAAAGACTAGGAAGAAGGTGAGGTGGACTACTTCTGAATGCTTAGTCACTGAAAACCTTATGTCTTCTGATCATCTTAGTCAGCACTGGTGTGGAAAGGCTAATAATGTGCTTCAAAACTAGCCTTTAATTTGGTCTATTTATTTTCAAATTACTTAACTTCTGTGTATGTTGTTGTTAAGTGCCTTGGAGTTGGTTCCAACTCATAGCGACCCTGTATAGGGTTTCCAAGGAGCTGCTGGTAAGTTTGAACTGTTGATGTTGCAGTGCAAATGGACCTTGTAGTCCAGTACATTATTAGCCCACAGCGCCACACCAGGACTTCAAGTTCTGGGCATAGGGTGGTGGAATTCTGATTTTCAGCTGTGATTTTGGATTCTAATATCATCATCACAGAATTCCCCGGTAAAGAGATCTGTCAAATAAAGAGTATATAGTGATTTCAAAATAAAAATGATCACTAATATTCATGGGATTCTGTTTTCAAGTTATACCATTTGACTGGAGAAACAAGACAGTCATTCATAAAAAGTCTGTAAATGAAGACTAAAAAGAGCATCCCAGAAATGATCAAGTTGAGAGAGATGGTTGATGTGTACTATGTTCAGAACCCCCTGCCCTCGCACCCTCCCACCCCACCCCACCCCCAAAGCAGAAGGACAGTGAGAAGGGAGTGGGATTTGGATTAGGAATGAAGAGCCAGGGGAGGAAGTAGGAACATTCTAGGGAACAGAAACACTTAGATGAGAGTGACTGGAGTCACGGGTATTTGTGGGATGGTGATCAAATATGAAGGCCACTGCTAGATATGCTTTTGCTTACTTGGAATAGTTTCTTGGGGTCCCAAGATTCATTTATGCATTGTGAAATTGATACCTCTTAAAAATCATTATCACTTGTTTTCTTGGTTACAGAGGAACATTTGAACATTTTTTGAAGTTCATGGAACAACTTGGAATTCAGTGCAGTCATTTACTAAGAAGAAAGGACATCATAGATTCCTTAAAGGATGAGAATTTTGAATTGCTAGTATTGGAAAGTTTTGACTACTGTCCTTTCCTGATTGCTGAAAAGCTTGGAAAAACATTTGTATCTATTCTTCCTTCCTCCTTTGGCACTGTGGACATTGGGCTGCCCAGCCCCATATCTTACATTCCAGTATATGGTTCTTTGCTAACTGACCGCATGGACTTCTGGGGACGAATGAAGAACCTTAAGAATTTCTTGGCATTTTCTATGAAGCAACGGCAAATCCACTCTCAGTATGATAACACCCTCAGGGAGCATTTTCCAGAAGGCTCTAGACCAGTGTTGTCTCATCTTTTACTGAAAGCAGAGTTATGGTTTGTTAACTCTGACTTTGCCTTTGATTTTGCTCGGCCCCTGCTTCCTAATACTGTTTATATTGGAGGTCTCATGGTCAAACCCATTAAATCAGTACCGCAAGTAAGTAAAACCTTGGCACTCAATTTGGATTTCTTACAGAGGTTGGTGCAGAGTTGGTGACAACCTCAAGCCAGTGGGAACCTGGGCTTGCAGTAGGCAGGCAGGTGAGACATGTTAGGCCATGATGTAAGGGGGTCCTCACTCTCGGGGTGGTACTAGAACCGGGTCAGCCTTTTCATGAGATCCTGAGACACTAACTGAGGGTGGCCTTAAATCATGTGCCTCAGGCTCCCCTCTTTCCTTACCCTAGTCCTGGCCCAGGCAAAATAAGCCATTGAAAAAGCTGATATTTTCATTTGCATTTTATAGGATTATGTATACAGTAAGTCATGGCAGCTACCTATGTACAGAGTAGGACTGTTCCATAGGATTTTTTTTTTTTTTTTATGTTTTTTATTGTGAACTGAGTGATAGTTTACATGGGAGAACATCAGCTTTATACTCATTGTTTCATTGCAATGATTGCAATCCCCTCCGTGCATCATCATTCAACAGTATTTGCTTCTGTTCCCTCTTTTTTTTTAATGTACACAAAACCCCTCAGGAATATATAATTATTTAAACAACCATAGGGCACATTCTGCAAGCCTGCCTCCTGCCCACCAGCAAGCAGCCTTTCTCTTTCCATGAGTCTAGAGTCCTCAGCTGCTCTATCTCTCCATGTCCCCATCTCTGCCTCCTTCTCTGGTGTCGCTGCTTCTCTGGATAGGGTCCCACATTCCGCTCATGCTCTTCTCCCTTGATGGTCCTGGGTCTCCATAGGATTTTCAAGACCTTTCAGAAGTGTGTTGTAAGGCTAGGCCAAGCCTGTCTTTTGAGGCACAACTAGATGAGTTTGAACCAGCAAACTTTCAGTAGTAATACAGCACTTAACTGTTTGAGTCACCTAGGGACTCTGAATACTTGAAGGTAACTGCCTACACCAACACACAATAAGTATGTAATGATCACCATTCTGTGCAAGAATTATTAAGGAAATGTCTCCAAGGACACAATAGAAGGCAGGCTAAAACAGGCCAGGACTGTGAAACTGACCACAAGAGCTATAGGTTTGATGCCCAGGGTCCTTGCCTGGAGAACCCTGGGTCCTGACGCCATATAGGCCTTTTGATCTTGGTTGGCACCTGGGCACTGTTAGTTGTGAAAGCTGCTGAGGTGGTTGTAAAAGGCCTCAGAGCCATGGCGACAGGAGTTTTCAAACGTGAGGAGAGCTAAGATTAGTTGGCTGCCATTTGCCTAGCAGCATGGTCATGGAAGCTTTCTTATGTCCTCTCCTGGTAGGAGACAGAGGCTTAGGTGATTCAACTGACGTTCCCATTGCGCTTCAGCTCACAGACCAGGAGAGCTGAGATCTGGCCTGGGTGTCCAGGCACCCAAATCTCTGTTTTCCTCTGATTATTGTTGCTAAGTGCTGTCGAGCTGGTTCCAACTCATAGCAACCCTGTATAACATTTCTGAGGAGCGGCCGGTGAGCTTGAACCTCTGACCTTGCAGTCCAAGCCAACCTTGTAGTCTAACGCATTAACCCACAGTGCCACACCAGGACTCCTCCGGTGACCGTAAATAGAATGAGCAGGAAGAGTTGGGGAAAGACAGACACTTTGAAGGGTTTTGAGTTGGTGGTAGGGTATTTTAGGAATGAAGCAGGGGCAGAAAGGCACGTTAGGTGTTGAACACAGGGACCTAAAGTGTATAGGTAGAAGAGAGTTGGGCATCATATGGAACAATTGCCAAAGAGATTACTGTGCTATGCTTAGGGTCACCAGCAGTCAGAACTACTATTAGTCAGAACTGACTTGAGGGCATCTAACAACAATATAGGAAACAGAAGGTTCCCTGGTGACTTTGTTTACACTGGAGTAGTGGAAGATTCAGTTGCATAAATAAACCTGGGCCTTACCTGGCAGAATGGCAGGTCAGGCCTTGGCCCTGGGGCTGGAGGAGAACAATGGGACTCAAAGGTTACAATGTCTGTGAGATGAGAAGCTTTTTTAAAAAAGGTGTCTTCTCTGCCTTTTTCACTTTTTATAGAATAGACTTACATTGTAATTTAAAAGGACAGCATCGCTATATTGAATGTCCTTTGGGATGGTAGCTCCTACAGGGTTGTGTTGGATAGGTTCAAGTTCTGACAGAACATATATTCCAATAGGGGCTGGGAGCTAAGGATAGTCATAGAAATGGGGACAGTAGGTGTGGCACTGTGGGTTAATGCACCAGACTGCAAAGCCATTTGAACTACAAGGTTGGCGGTTCAAGCTCTTCAGCTGCTCCTTGGAAACCCTATCCAGGTTCGCTATGGGTTGGAACTGACTCGATGGCATTTAACAACAACAACAGCAACGTCCAAAGATGTATTGTGTGAATTGTGTTAAGTGTCATTGAGTCAGTTCCAATTCATATTGACCCTGTATAGAGTGTCTGAAGAGTGGCTGGTGAGTTTGAACCACGGACCTTGCGATCTAGCACTTATCCTACAGTGCCATTCAAAGACACACTAGAAAGTAACAATAATGGACACAGCTGTGCTATAGCAAAGATTAGATCCGATCTTTGTAAGAACTTCCTGGTTCAGTTTCTTAATGTTACAGTAACAGAAACACCACAAATGGTGGTTTTAATGGACAGAAATTGCTTTTCCCACAACTTAGGAGGCTAGACGTCTGAGTTCAGGGGGACAGCTCTACGGGGAGGCTCTCTCTGTCAGCTCTGGGGTAACAGCCTTGTTTCAGCTGCTCTAACATTCTTCTGTGTTCCTTCAAGAGGTTCACATGGGATTTACACTTCCCCATTCATGCTTGCTTCACTCTGTGCCTAATGTAAACAAACCTGCACTGCTATGGCCTCATTACAGAACAACGAAAAACCTATTCCCAAACAGGATCACATCTACAGGTATGAGGGTGACCATTCCAAAACTTTTGTTTGGAAAGTCACAATTCAATCCATTGTTGTTTTCAGGTGCCATTGAGTTGGTACCGACTCATAGTGACCTTATGCACAGCAGGAGGAAACACTGCCTGGTCCTACGCCAATTGTTGTTATGCTTCAGCCCATTGGTGCTGCCACTGTGCCAATCAGTCTCACTGGGGGGGGGAGGGGTCTTCCTTTTTTTTGCTGACCTCCCACTTTACCAAGCATGATGTCCTTCTCCTGAGACTGTTCCACCTGATGACTTATTGGAAATATGAGAGATGAAGTTTGGAATTCAGTCCATAATAGAGACTAAAAAGTATTATCATGCCCAGATTGAGGTTGGGCTTGGACACTGAGGCTTTAAATATTTTTTTCTGGATGTTTATAATGTGTACCCCTGGCTGTGAGTCACTGACAAAAGGAATGCAGTATAAACTTGCAAGACGGAGAAACTCATCGAATGTAGTTGCACAGCAAACAAAGTGTCACACTGGGTAAAGTTGTTGTCAAGTGCCGTTGAGTCCGTTCTGACTGATAGTGACTCTGTGTAGGGTTTCCAAGGAGCTGCTGGTGGGTTTGAACTGCTGACCTTGAGGTTTGCAGTCCACTGCTGGTCCAACAGCACCACGCCAGGAGTCCTTGAGTGATGAGCCATAGCCAGTTCTGCCTCCATTTCTTATGTTGGAGATCTTCCTTAGTATCTCCATTCAGCCCAGGTCCCACTGTTGGATCTGGACCCTTCAATTGTACATCTCCAGGTACCACCACTTCCTAGTTAGCCTTGGAAAACTCCCAGATAACATGTCTCCCCTGTCATGTCATCAAATTGGGTGGAGGTTGGGAAGATGATCCTTTGTTGGACTCATGGTTTTTCAATGAAGAAAGATGTTAGCACTGTCTCAACTTCCCTTTCCATAAGTTACTGGAGCTCACAGGAGCTCCAGAGCTGCGGTTCTGTGTGCTATGAGGATCTCAGGTGTAATGTGTCCATTTTCAAGACTGGTAACCTAAAAGCCTTCTTCACCGCCCCCTCCATTTGAGATCATTTAATACTACTTAGATGGGAAAATGTGCCCTAAGATCTCAGAAGAATTCATCCCAGGCCATTCAGACAGTGTGGACATGGACACTGTACAGAGGAAGGTCAGTTATTCCTGGAACTATGAGAACAGTTTCAGGACACTGAAGAGAAGGCATTGAGGGAAGGATGTGCTTAGTAAAAAAAAACAAAAACAAAAAAAAACTTTCACTTGCACTCCAGGCTTTCATGAATAACTTCATTCACTGCTTTCTTTTGTTACTTCTATCCAGGACCTTGAGACATTCATAGCCAAGTTTGGAGACTCCGGTTTTATCCTTGTGGCCCTGGGTTCCATGGTAAATACCTATCAGACCCATGAGATTCTCAAGGAAATGAACAGTGCTTTTGCTCATCTTCCCCAAGGAGTAATCTGGAGATATAAGCATTCACATTGGCCCAAAGATGTACAATTGGCAGCAAATGTGAAAATTGTGGACTGGCTTCCTCAGAGTGACCTTCTAGGTAAGAGCTTCCCAGATCTGCTTCTCTGCTTCCATCTATACATCCTTAGGGGTTCTCATCTCTCCTTGAGCATCCCTGCAGCACAGGAAGGGTGGTTATGTGCAGTGGAGTCAGTTCCAACTCATAGCGACTCACCTGTACAGGGTTTCCAAGGCTGTAATACTTACGGAAGCAGAAAGCCTCATCTTTCTCCCATGGAACAACTGGTAGTTTCGAACTTCTGACCCTTAGGTTAGCAGCCCGATTCATAACCACCAGAGCACCTTAGCACAGTAAGGGAGCAGTTGGTAATTAGTAACAAGGTTTGAGAGGAGAGGAGAGGAGGAGGAGCCCCCCTCCCCTGAGTCTTAGGAATCAGTCTACTTCCAATGAGATCAGATGCCTAAACAGGCGCCTCCCCTTCATTCCTTTCTATGGCACATTCAGTGTTTACATATTCTCTGTTCAGCCTTCTTGACTCTAGTGCATTTGCATTGAACAGGGTCACCCAACAATCTGTGAACTCAAAGAATACAGTTTGGGGTGAGTGACAGGGTGAGGGGGCTATGCATGCACATACATCTTTCTTACATACTAAGGGTGTAAGGAACTCATACTTTTACCATATTGATGCCAACCATCTTTCAGATGTGTGAGAATATCCGATTGTCAAGCTCAGATACCTAACTACTGATTATTTTGCCCAAAGAGTTCTCTAGTTTCAGATCCCCACCCACCCAAGGAGTTTTCTCTGTGCGCAGCAATGTTTCTTGGAGACTCCTCACTGCTACAGGCACTGACTGGATTAGAGGCTCATAACCAAGATTAGGACTCAAAATGAGTTAGGGAACTTAAACACCATGCTCTTGACTTCATCTCACAAATGTATTTCACAGGGTGGGACTCATGAACCCCATTTTGAAATGATCATAAGGAGGTTCCGATGTACATTCTGGTTAAGAGGTGCAGGTCACTAATCATATTAGTTTGCTGTTAATCACACTGATTCCTGGGGCTTCTCATAATATTGAGGGGAAAACTAATGCAGATGCTAAAGATGACAATGCACAGTAAGTATTCTAAGTGTCTTATGAATCATGATGTCAATTCATGTGTCAGGAATTCAGAGAAGAAGAAGATAAGTGGGCAGTGGAGGAGATGAAGAGATGGCAAAGAAACAGAGAAGAAATAGAGATCAGAGAAAGAAAGAGGAGATGGAGAAAAGAGAGCGGGATGGATGGATAGATGGGTGAGTGGGTGGAAAGAAGGAAGGAAGGAAGAATGGATGGGTATATAGCATTCTACTCTGAAACTTTCTTTGGGGTCTTAAAGGAGTCTATACAGAGGCAAGATTTGGGGTCTTGAATCTTGGAAACTACACAGCATAATTACAGTGGTCCCAACACAAACTGAGATTCCCTTGACATTTTCTTCTGCCCTTGCTGCACTAACTGGTGCTGTGAAACTTTTCCTTCTGAAATGTCCTGCTTCTTTTTTAAAACAGCTCACCCTAAGATCCGTCTTTTCGTCAACCATGGCGGGCAGAATAGCATAATGGAGGCCATCCAACATGGTGTGCCCATGGTGGGGATTCCACTCTTTGGAGACCAGCCTGAAAACTTGCTCAGAGTAGAAGCCAAAAACTTCGGTGTCACGGTCCTATTAAAGCAGCTTAAGGCAGAAACTTTGACTCTTAAGATGAAACAAGTCATAGAAGACAAGAGGTATGCAGTTCCCTGGGCACGTGGCTACTTAGGCTAAAGGAAGCGTTGTTCTATATACCACTGCATAAGTACCCTTGGTGATGAAACGGAAGCTTCCCAGGCATGGAATAAGAATAAACAGGCATGCTGAGAACTGACTAGTTTTCTATGAGAATAAGATACAAGCAATTTAGGTGCTGAGAATAGTTTTTTTTACCTTAAGGATAGTGAAGGACACAAAGGTTTTACATAGAGATAGTTGAATTTGATGTCAGATAGATATTGACTGGAACTCTGGTAGCATAGTGGTTTCGAATCGGGCTGCGAACCACAAGGTCAGCAGTTCAAAACTACCAGCTGTTCCGCGGGAGAAAGATGAGGTTTTCTGCTCCCATAAAGATTTACAGCCTCGGAAACCCTGTACAGGGTCGCTATGAATCGGAACTGACTCCACAGCACATAACAACAAGATATTGACTGAGGTTTTATTCTTCAGGATCCTCATAATAATATTCTACTGAGGAATGAGTTTTCTTTTATGCTTCCCAACTATATCAAGCTCTTCCTTGCCAATGATGCTTCCTAGAACATCCTTCCCTTCTCTTCCCGTGATTGGCTCTTTGTTGACATTCTGGTTCATCTACAATGTCACCTTCTTCGAGTTCTTCTCTGTCCACCTGAGACTCTCTCACCTAATTATAATATTTCCTTCTTAACATACCTCAGGCTCTGTATTATCCTGTTTGCTATTTTCTTATTTCTTATCAGTCTGCCCATGAGTACATTGAGGCATGTCTCATGCTTTCCACTTTGTTCCCAGAGCTCAGCACAAGCCCTGCTACAGAGCATGGGGCTAATGATTTCCATTCTGTGAATCTGGAAAAGGGTCAGGTGACCTGCATAGTAACTGCCTATCCAGAACCTTGTCACGTATGTTGTTGTTGTTAAGTGCTGTTGAGTCTGTACCAACTCATAACAAACCTGTATGGGCCTCCCAAGACTGTAAATCTTTGCAGAAGCAGAAAGTCTCACCATTTACCCACTGAGCAACACACACACATTCACATATGTTTTTCTTATAACTAAGAAGAACTGAATTCCCTTATTAGAGATTCAAAAACACAAACCCTGAAGCACATCTCAGTGTTTAATAAGACTTCTTTGCACATTGTTGTTTCTTGTTAAGTGCTATCTAGTTGGCTCTGACCCATAGCCACCCTGTATAACATTTCTGAAGAGCGGCTGGTGAGTTTGAGCTTCTGACCTTGCTTATGTGCTTATCCTTCTTTGCACATAGGAAACTGTGATTATTTTGTTGTGTGATTGTAAAACAACTACATAGCTAGGGGTTCTTAGCCTGAAAAACATATCTAAGCCTTGTTGTTACTGTTAAGTACTGTTGAGTTGGTTTCCATAGCGAACCTGTGTAGGGTTTCCAAGCAGTGGCTGGTGGGTTTGAGCCACCAACCTTTTGGTTAGCAGTCCAGTGCTTATTCAACAGTGTCACACCAGGACTAGGAATCTGTTAACCCTGGGTATTTTTCATATATGTGTTATGCCATGTGTCACAAAAATTCATTTTCTGAGGAACGGGTACAGTGTTTCATTGGACTCTTAGAGATCTGAGATCCAAAAAGATCAAGAACTATTGTCCCTTGTGTAAGAGCCATTTTGGTCTGGAATCTTCCCCAGATATCTTACAGCACTAGGATTAACTACATAATTTATGTGACCTGGTGCAAACATGGGGCCCTGAGTTAAAAGTGAATTAAGAATTTCAAGATGGCGAATGCAGAAAAGCAATCAGGCAGCTGGGCTTTCTAAGTGTGGGGTCCTTCTACACAGGAAGTTACCCTGTCTGCTCGATGTTCTGATGATGCAAGACAGTGCAGTGCCATCCTGAGGGGTTGGCAGTCCTGAGTTACATGTGACACTTGGCCCAAGTAGGTATTCAGTATATGTTAAAATATAATCATTGGTGTTGTTAAGTGCCAGTGAGTCAGTTCTGACCCATAGTGACCCTATATAGGATTTCTGAGGAGCAGCTGGTGAGTTTGAACCACCAATCTCAAACTGATCTTGTGGTCAAGTGCTTATCCTACAGTGCCACACCAGGACTCCAAAATACATTAATGTTGTTGTTAGGGGCCATTGAGTTGGTACCTACTCATAGCAATCCTATGCACAACAGAATGAAACACTGCCCAGTCCTGGGCCAACCTCACATTGTTGCCATGCTTGAGCCCGTTGATGCTGCCACTTGGCCAATCCATCTCACTGGGGGTCTTCCTCTTTTTCTCTGACCCTCCATTTTACCAAACATGATATCCTTCTCCAGTGACTGGTCCCTCCTGACAATATGTCTGAAGTATGAGAGATGAAGTTTGACTATCCTGGCTTCCAAGGAACACTCTCTGGCTGCACTTCTTCCATCACAGATCTGTTTGTTCCTTTGGCAGCCCACAGCACTTTCAATATTCTCTTCCAACACCATAACTCAAAAGCATCAATTCTTCTATGATCTTCCTTATTCACTGTCTGGCTTTCACATGCATATGAGGTTATTGAAAATACCATGGCTTGGGTCAGGTGCACCTTAGTCCTCAAGCTGACATCTTTGCTCTTCAATACTTTCAAAAGGTCTTGTGCAGCAGATTTGCCTAATGCAATACGTTGTTTGATTTCTTGACTACTGTGTCCATGAGTGTACATGGTTGATCCAAGAAAAATGAAGTCCTTAACAACTTCAGTCTTTTCTCAATTGATAAGAATGTTGTTTATTGGTCCAGTGGTGAGGATTTTTGTTTTCTTTACATTGAGATTCAATCCATACTGAAGGCTGTGATCTTCATCAGTAAGTGTCTTAAGTCCTCTTCACCTTCAGCAAGCCAGGTTGTATCATTTGCATATCGCAGGCTATTAATGAGTCTTCCTCTAAACCTGATGCCACGTTTTCCTTCACAGAACTCAATTTATCAGATTATTTGCTCAGTTTACAGGGTGCACAAAATAAAATCCTTTTGCACACCTTTCTTAATTTTAAACCATTGAGTGTTTCCATGTTCTGTTCGAACAATTGTCTCTTGGTCCATGTACAGGTTCCTCGTGAACACAATTAAGTGTTTCAGAATACACTAATATCATCGTATATTATTCTCACATTGTCTATCACTAGCTTCCTTGGAGAAGGGATTAGTTCTATAGATTTATGCTATTTTGTTTATCTCTCTTAGCACCATATATGCATCTTTGTAAGTACATTTGGTTATTGAACTTTCCAAGGAGTCAGCTAGATAGGCTCAGCCAGAACAGTAGCTCTTCTTTGAATCTCACTTTTATGCATTTAGAAGAAAATGTTCATCTGCTGAAAGTCTTCTGAGACTACGTCAGTAATGCCACCTCTGTCTCTGCCAACAGGTACAAGTCTGCAGCTATGGCTGCCAGCGTCATCAGGAGCTCCCACCCTCTGAGCCCCTCCCAGAGGCTGGTGGGCTGGATCGACCACATCCTTCAGACAGGGGATGGGGCCCACCTTAAGCCTTATGCCTTCCAGCAGTCCTGGTATGAGCAGTACTTGCTTGATGTTTTCTTGTTCCTGCTGGGGATCACTCTGCCTTTCATGTGGCTTTGTGGGAGGCTGCTGTGCATGGTGGCTAGGTGGTTGTGTGGGTCCAGGAAGCTGAAACAGACATGATGGATGATGTTAAGGTTGGGTGTGTTGGGGAGTTATTGGTTCTTGGGAGGCTTCCAGCAGCACAGGCCACCCATAGTGTCTTCCCATCTCCTCCACTTGCTCCTCAGTGTTTTCTTCCTCTATGCTGAGGTCCTTGTTCAGCATTCAGGTGTCTCCCTGATTCTGACTCCACCTGCACTCAGCCAACTCTGCTTGCCGAATCACTCCCATTTCCTAGGCCCAGTTCTCTGGCTGTTTCATCTTCCTCTTCTAGTCTCTCCCCAGTTTTCCTTCCATCACTTGTTTTTATATGCTTGTTTATATAGCAACTTTATTAATATTATCCCCAAACTGGAATTAACTCAGATGTCCCCTAGTGGGTGAATGGTTAAACAAACTGTTACATCCATACCTTCAAAAGCTACTCAGCAGCAAAAAGTGTCAACGACTGGTACATGAAGCAACCTGGGTGATTCTCCAGAGAATGATGCTGAATGAGAAGAAGGTACTCCCAAAAGGGTACATAAGATTCCATTGATGTGACATTCTTTCTCTGACAAAATTATAGACTTGAAGAACAGATTAATGGCTCCAGGGTGTAAATAGTGGTTGAGGGAATTGGATGCTGTGGGGTAAAAAAAGGCTCCTAGAGGGATCTTTGTACTGATGGAAATGTTCTGTGTTCTGACTGCTTCGATACCCTGTCCTAGTTGTGATATTGTGCTATAGTTTTACAAGATACTATCATTGGGGGAAACTGGATAAGTGTAAAGGGGTTGCTCTATATGATTTTTTACAACTGTGTGTGAAGTTACATTATCTCACAATGAAAAAATAAAGGGTAAACTCTGCTTGCTGTGTTCTCTGGCTCTTGTTTTTGGCCTTCCCTGCACCTGGTAGGGTGGCTGTGTACTTGTTCTCTTCAGAAACCCCAGGAACTGTATCCGTTCCTCATAAAGAGCTTCTGATGGCTTCTCAAATACGCTAAAGGGACCGACTACATGTCAGCCTCTATAGGAGCAGTGCAAACATTTTGTTAGCATTCCCATTACTTTTAATTTAAAAAGACATTTATCCATGCTATTTAGCAAATTGGAGTCCTGGTGTGACACTGGGAGTTAGTAGGCTGGACTGCAAAGTCGATTTGAACCACAAGGTTGGCGGTTCAAGCTCACGAGCCACTTCTTGGAAATCAGAAGCAGGGTCTCTATGGGTCAGAATTGACTTGACAGCACTTAATGACAACAGCAATTTAGCAATTTGGCAAATTCTCCCATTTTAGACCTATTTCTTGCCACTCTGTTTCAGTTCTCAGGAATCTGTACTACCCTGCACATTTAGGACCCAGACAGGCTTTCCATGGACTCCACATCTGGGCACCTCCTGAGTCCTGCCCTTCAGCAACATCTGTGCTGGTCAGGGTTGGAGCCTGCAGATGGTTCTTAGGTGATGTAACCTTTGCTCCCCACTTTTCACAGTTTTTTTTCATATGATCCCCATTTTTATAAACTGAGGAATGCAAGACTTCTGTGGAGAACTAGGTGCCTAAATGTAAGGCTTTGGGGCCCCAGCTCTTAGTGGTGATTTACATTTTCTTGGTTTAGGAAAAATTCCATCTGCCATCTCCCACACAGTAAAGGATAGTCATGTCTCTGGTAAACCCTCAGGGATTTGCACTCATCTACTTCTTTCAGAAACCCTTTTGACATTTATATGTTTATAGCAGCATTATTATTAATAATCCCAAACTGGAAACAACATAGTCCTGCAATGAGTGAAGAGTTAAACAAAGTGTAACAAAACCCTTCCCTTGGAATACTTCTCAGCAATAAAATCTGGCCATCAGTGACACATGCAGCAACCTTTAAGTATGGCTTAGGACAAAAGGGCTCTTGGGTTTTGTTTTTCTTTATTTGAAAATAGGCAGGCTAGGTACAGCTGCTTTGCTGCCTTCATTGTGCCATCATGATCCCAGATTTCCTGTGTCTTGTTTATCTCCCTTCCTGAATTCCCTCTCTGGTAGATAGCTTCCGTGGAGTGTTTGATTTTGAAATGATTTGTTTTTTACCATATTTATTTCTAATTTATTAGTGGTTACATCTCACTCTACTTTGAGATGACATTTCACGAGAAGTGCAGGTATCCCATAGCAGAGCCTCCCCCTGTGCTTCCTTCTGACCCTTAGAACCTGTCGAAGTCAACTCAAATCTCTATACACCATGGCCACCTAATGGACTCCTGATGTGGCACTGCAGGATCAGCACCGGACTTCAAGCAACAAGATCGGCTATTCAAATCCACAAGCTGCTCCTTGGAAACCCTACACTGGGTTGCTGTAAGTCGGAACCGACTCAACAGCACTTAAAAACAACGGGCAGCTGACATAATATTGTGAATTTTATTTGATTAACTGTCATGTGTGAGATCACTTAGGAATAAGAAGAGAAAAAGAGATTTTATTTTGCTTTCACTTATCCTTCTCTAGCCCTGTTGTTTTCTTGGTGTACATGTAAGTTACTGACTTAAGTCATTAACTTCTTTTCAACGAATTTCCTTGAATATTTCTTGCAAAGTAGATATACTCACAACTAATTCTCCCATTTCTAGTATGAATTGAGTGAAGGTTTACAGAGCAGATGGTCAATTTTACATTCAACAGTCATGTACTTTGCTTCATTACATGGTTACAATCCCCTCCATGTACCAATAGTTCACAGTATTCACCTCGATTCACTTTACCTATTGCTTTCCTCCTTGTGTCTCCCAATATCTTCATGTTTCCCCTGCCAACCTCTCTCTTGTATAGTGCCTGCCCTGTCACCCATGTTAACATGCGTCTACCCTCTAGTCTGTGAATAATTTCCCACCCCCCCCACCCACCACAGATTGTTTCTTTTATCAAAAAAATGTTTTTCTTAACTTTTTACAACATTAGTCTCATACAATATTTGTCCTTTTGTGATTGACTAATTTCACTCAGCGAAATGTCCTCCAGGTTCATCCTTATTGTGAGGTGTTTCACAGAGCCATCATTATTCTTCAGTATTGTGTAGTATTCCACTGCAAGTATGTTATCAAAGTTTGTTTAACCATTCTTCTATTGATGGGCATTTAGGCTGTCTCCATCTTTTTGACATGTCTCTTGTAGACAACATATTGTAGGATCCTGTTTTCTTATCCATTCAGCTCTTTATGTCTCTTGATTGGTGCATTTAATCCATTTATATTCAGTGTAATTATCAATAGGTAGGAATTGATTACTGTTCTTTTTCTGTGGTGTTCTTGGATTCTTAGCTCCACATAATTTTCTATGCTGAGTTCATTTTGTTTGTGGGTTTTCTTGCCATTTTCATTTCTGTTGTGTTAATGTTTACTAAATCTTTATGCTTTTCTTCTTTTTTATTTTTATGTGCAGGTACATTATTTTTCTTCAAGGTTACCCTGGAGTTTATTAATATTTTTCCTTGCTTAAGACAGTCTGTTTTCTCTTGAAATCTACTGACTTCCTTGCATTTGGAACATCTATATTTATACTATTCCCTTTTTTTGGCTTTATGGTTGACTTTGTTATATACATTGATACCTCTGGTTCCCTATTTTCAGCCTCGTAGGTTTGTTTTAAGGAGCTCTGGTAGTGTAGTGGCTACAAGTTGGGCTGCTAATCTATAGGGCAGCAGTTTGAAAGATGAGAGTTTCTGGCCCCGTAAAGAGTTACAGCCTCAGAAACCCTATACAGTCACCTTGAGTCAGAACCAACTCCATGGCATACCACCACTACCTGCAGCAGGTCTGTTTTCCTTTAAACACTTCTATATCTGGGTTGAGTTCTGGGGGTGGGGGGGGGTGGGGGGGGTCACGTGCACTAATCTCAGGTTGCTCTCTGCTGTTGTTGGTTCTCAGTCCAAAGAACATCCGTTAACATTTTGTAAAATTGGTCTGATTACTACAAATTCTTTTTATTTCTGTTTATCAGGAAATGTCCTAATTTTGCTCTTGTATTTAAGGGACAGCTTTGCTGGGTTGGTAGTTTTTATCTTTCAGGGTTTTGTATATGTCATCCCATTGCCTTCTTGCCTGCATGGTTTCTGCTGAGAAATCAGAGTTTAGTCTTATTGGTTCTCTTTTATAGGTAACTTTTCATTTTTTTCCCAAGCTAGGATTGGGAATCTCAGGATTCTTTCCTTGTCTTTGATTTTGGAAAGTTTAATTATCATATGTCTTGGTGATTTTCTTTTGGGATCTGTCCTATTTGGGATTGTTCAGCTTCTTGTATCTTATTTTCTCATCTTTTCAGGCTGTTAGGGAAGTATTCTTCCAACAACTCTTTGACAATGTTCTCTGTGCTTTTTGTGATCTCTTCCTGTTCTGGAATTCTCATCACCCATAAGGTGTTCCTTTTCATGGTGTCCCACATAACTTTTAGACTTCAGATTTTTTAAGTTCTTTTTCCTGATTGTTCTTCTAGCATACTAGTATTGAGAGATTTGTAGTCAAGTTCATTACTTCGGGCTTCCATTGCTTCACATTTTCTTTGCCCTTTCAAAGTATTGTCTGTTTCTGGATTATAATTGTCTAATCTTCTGGATTGTAATTGCAGGTTTTGTATTGTTTCCAAATTTGCTTTTATTTGTCTGTTTGTTATTGTAGTGTTTTCCTAAATTCTTCTAAAATTTCTCTGGAAGCCAAATTATAAGTTGGCATTCCACCCGCCCCCCACCCCCCCAATACCTGAAGCATTTCATTACAACTTCTTGCATACTTTCTGAAGAGAAGTTGATGCAAGTATTATCCTTGTTCCTCATTATATAAAGTGTTTAGTTAAGGTGGGCTTTTGTTTGCTCTGACATAGTTCAAGCTTTTCTCTATCACTCTTTAAAAAGTTTCCTGCAGTTTGACTATGATAGCGTAGTGGTTACGAATTGGGCTGCGAACCTTAAGGCCAGCAGTTCGAAACTACCAGCTGCTCCGCGGGAGAAAGATGAGGCTTTCTGCTCCCGTAAAGATTTACACCCTCGGAAACC